CCCCCTTGAGGATCAGGTCCTGTGAATATGAGGTTACTTGGAACTAATTTTGCGAGATCTTACCCACCAGTTCTTCCTGGTCAATATAGTATCTGTTGCCCACAACAGATACTCATTACGGTGTAGGTTACCCATGCTGGTCTGCTTTTCATCTTTAAGTTTCAGTTGGCTCATCATGAATGTTTAGATAGAGCTCCAGAGAACCATTTTTTCACATAAAGGGTGACTCAACATCCACATCTTCCTACCTGGTCCTTCCTAAAAATCTTTTGTCCCTGCACTGAAGCACCCTAGTGATGTGAACCTGTCCACACCTCCACCACAGTCCCAGTAAAATCAAAGCTCACAACAGCACACAGATTTCTAATGCTTCCTGTGTGTTTTCCGTGGCATCCTTGATACCCAGTGTGACACCCCATTCCTCTGTTCCTGTAGTCTCTACAACACCACAGTTGTATGCATACTCCTTAATGGTAATGTTCCTTGGCAGTGCTTTAAATTGAGAGCAACATCCAGCAGCAGCAAGGAGTACTTGTGGGCAGAAGGCAGAGCACAGTTCTGACTAATCTGGGAGTTTAGTATAGATAATTCTATGTCTGGGTACACTCTTAACTTTTTCATATAGACATAGCCTCAGATTAACTTTAATCCAAATGAGGCAAAAGGGAAATTCCTGATTATAATTTTAATTGTTGCTTTAAAAAAAATCAAGAGCACAATTGGTCTTATTGCTCTGAAGAAGACCAAGAGTAATACAAGTTTGCATTTCAGACACTAATTATACATAGCCTCAGACTATGTGCTCTCTAACCCTGAGGACAACACAATCCCTTGTTTTGCATAAAGGCAACAATATTGTGATGAGGAAATTATTTTCCTGAGATAGTATTCACCTTAAAAATCAGTGTTTCCTGTAAAATGAGGGAAGTCAAAACTGCAGGAAAGTAAAATTTAGGCAGGGGTGTAGATTTATACTTCGGTAGTTTTTCTTAGATTTTTTTTTTATGCCTGTAAACTTTTTTTTCCCTGTCTAATGAGATTTGAGAGGCACTGTCTTATCTCTATTTCATTAGTTGAAAATAATACTAACTTATTTTCAAGTCAATTTAGAGGACCCTTTTATGGTTACACTGCTAATTAAATTCCATCACTTAAGGCACAGAGTTAGCAGCTAGCTGTGTAGGACACAAAGCTACAAGAGTGGCCACTCACTTTGCCCTGTGTCAGATTGTCCCTGGTTGCAGATTGGTATATGAGAGGCTTCTCTTCACTCAGTTCTCTGTCTTAAGGCTATACATCTCTCTTCTGTATCTCTTCTTTCTCCTAAATGAGGCCTGAAATTTTTTAAACTTTTTTTCTTTTTTGTTATTATATCCTGTTGAGAGGCTTTGAATGGCTCTGACAGTGTTTATCTTTTTATAAACTGAGGGAGCTATACAGTGATTCTGCCATTTGTGAACATAGCTCAATATGGATTATGAAAAAAACAGGAAAAAAATTAAGTTCTTTGTCATTGTACACCTGAGGATCCATATTAGTCAAATTATTTAAACAGTGTAAACTGAATTAGGAACTTAGGGCAGCCTCTGTTTAATTACCTGAAAGACTCAAAACCATGGCAGAACCAGAGGTCCTGACTGTGTCTATGATACTTGGGTTATGCGCCACGTTGAGCACTGTTTCACACCAGTGGCCTCCGTCAGGGAGAGCTTGCAGCTGCAAGAGGCATGGTTTCTGAATCAAATGTGGAGTGACAAACCTCCTCTGTCTCTTGGTATGGCAGAGGCCCCTGCAGGTATGTCCAACTGAAGAAGTGTGAAAATTCCACAGACTTTCGAATCTAAAACAGTCACAGGTGCTCCCCTGGCTAACTAAGGAGCTGGGTGAATCATTGGGGTGGGCAAGGGCCTGGATTGCACAGTAGACCCCAAATTCTGCTTGAAGGCCATGCTGGAAAAGCAGTTAGCATATCTCACTTCTATGCCCCATCACACATAAAGATTCAATAACTCTTAAAGGAAGTAGAGCTGCCTAATCTATTACCCATTTTTATGTTTCCTAACATGAGAGGGAGTAATAACAAATGAACAGACTACTGAAATTCTTACTTTTTGCTGGGACTTATCACCTGGCAGCGCTGCGTCGCACGTCACCTAGAATTTTAATGTCCCAATACTCACCAGAGACCTCTAAGACAGTTACAGTCAGTTGAAATGCTCTACTGAGAGGTCCCTGGTTTTAAATGCAAGAAGTAAGGAACTGCCTCCAAGAAGGCCCTTCAAGGTGGAATGCACTTCTGTGATACACAGAGAGTTCAGTGATGTTCACAGAGCGACCTGTTCACACTCTAGCATTCATTTGGGACATAACAGGGTGAAGGAAAGCAATATGGATAATCTGGTTGCATAGGAAAAGTGAACCTTCTTTTTTCTAATAAAAACCTTTGCTATCATAAATATTTCTGAATGACAAAATAGCATATATCTGTTATGAGCTACAGAAAGGACCACACAATAGTACAGGCACCCAACACAGTGCTTTTCAATTGAGATTTTATATTAAAATGCTAACAAAACTGATCAGGACTTCATTATGTGGCTCCCTCCGCATTTTGTTTCTAGTTGTATAATACAAACATCAGCATTAAATAGTAAACACCTAAAACTACCTAAGAGGAAGATAAATTCTTATAACAGGAATATTTTGCATATTCAAAGGAATTTGTTTTTAATTTTTTTCTGTGAGTATGAAATTTTCATTTGTTTTCCTTCCTACCCACAACCTTCAGCCGTTTCTAAAAAGGGAATCAGGAAGACAACAAGAGTGTCACAGCTCCCTACAATATGTGATTGTTTAACCTTAAATCACCTCAGCTGTGAAAACTGTGCATGCAACTTCGAAAAAAAAAGTTTTGAATGTGACAGCAAAATTATTTTGTGATGTTTATACATTTTTAATGATTCTGCTTCCAGCAGAACTGATATTTCTCGCAGCCACAGAATAATGAAACCAGCTGTTAAAAGGATGTAGTTTTGCTTATGCTGTTTCCTCTGTCTAGTTAGCTAAGAGACTATGGTGTAGCTTAACGCAACAGAATAATTACAGTGATGCTTTAGGAAGTCTCAAAGAGCAGAGGTACTTCTCCTGTTACATGGCTGCTTTTGGGGAGGAGGGCATGTGTCCATGTGTGAGGGAGCGCAGCAGCATGATGGCAGATGGAAATACAGTAAGACAGCCAAGAGGGGACTTGGACAATGTGCCACAGAGCTCAATAAATCTATATGGTCTCTTTATGCTCTGCAAGGTCATGGATGACACTGACACTGGTTTCCTAGCAACCCACTCTACTAACCTACTTTTGTCCCAATCACTGGAGAATGACTTTAATGCTCTGAGCTGTGTTTCAACATGTGGAGGAAATAATCAAATTGACGCTGGTTAACTGCTGATGTGCAAAATGCCAAAAAGCGTTTTACTGGTCCATCTCCCCTCTATATGTCTTACATGCAGAAGGCTTTTTTAATAAAGAACAGCATTAAAGAACTCCTAACTTTTAGAGGAATATTAATTTCATTTGAAAACACAGACATATAATGTGAAAAGGTACACGTTAGTTAAGCAGGCATGTAGTACCAGATCCCAGTGGAAAAGGATTTACCCCAAACAGATGTTTATGATGACAAAAAATAAATGCATAAACAAAGAAAAAAAAGTATAAACTAAAAAATAGGAAATTTAAAAGTATTTAAATTATTAACATGGGTTTATTAAGGCACAGATAATGTAATCAATTAGTTAAAAACACTTAGTGTGCTCCAGTAATTTTTTTTAAAAAATCTAAATTTCATATACCTGCCATAAAAAAACCTTCTATATTACATAGAGAAAACAGGTTTTAAGCAACAATAATTCACTGATATAACCATATTGAATGAAGTCTCCTTCTATAGCTGATAAATAATATGCATGTGATGAAAAGGACACAGCTATATCTTGTCAAAGTAATGATGTATTTGTGTTTTCCTCTTCAAAAATTTTACATAGCCCTATTCCAAAACAGATGTCAAATGGCACAGCAGAGTAAATCAGGCAAAGCAAAAAATTCATTCAACGAATTTTGCCTTTTTCTCTGCTTGAGTAATTCTCCAAATTCTAACAATAATTTAGACTTATGTGATCATTTCTTATCATTTTATTATTCAAATTTCCAATTCCTGACTCATAATATTCATTCTTCACTGGTTAAGTGCAAATATTTGTGAGAATCATATGAAAAGGCTCTTCTGTGCTTTGGTAATAGATATCCTCGTCCAACCATAGGATGCAAAAACTTGAAAAGAACCACTTTATTTAACATATAGCAAATGAATACTTTCAGAGTATATGTGCTGTATAAACCTTAAGTCTGATTTACATTTGGTAGGACTTTTATTTCAGACAGACAGGGCAACAGTGCTGTGGTTTAACCCCAGCCATCACCCCAGCCCCTCACAGCCACTCGCTCCCTCACTCTCCCACCAGCAGGGCTGGGGAGAGAAGAAGAATGGCAGAAGCCAGTGAAATCCAGAGAAGTAATGGGCTGAGATAAAGGCAATTTAATAGGGAAAGCAAAAGTCACACACACAAGCAAACCAAAATAAGGACTTAATTCACTACTCCCCACAGGCAGGTATTCAGCCATCTCCAGGTGAACGTAATGGTGACTTGGGAAGAAAAACAAATCCAAATGTCAGTCCAAATGTCCCCCCCCACCTTCCTCCTTTTTCCCCCCACTTTGCATACTGAGTGTAATGTCATATGGTTTGGAACATCCCTTTGGTCAGTTTGTGTCACCTGTTCTGGCTCTGTTTCCTCCCACTCTTCCATGCACCCCTACCTTCCCACTGTGGCAGAATGAAGAGCCAGAAGGGGCCTTGACTCTGTGTAACCTCTGCTCAGAAGTGACAGTCATCTCTGTGTCACCAACCCTGTGTTCAGCACAAACCCAAATCAGCCCCATACTAGCTACTGTGAAGAAAATTAGCTGTACTCCAGCCAAAGCCAGCACAAATAGGCATGGGAGGTATGCCATTGCTTTCCTATATTCAAAAAAACTTGCAGTTTTGCTGTCTAAAAAAACCTCATGCTCATGCTTGCCTACTGCCAGAAAAACACACTGGATGTATCACTGGATCCAAAACTACTGAGCATTGTGGTGATCTACTCGAGGGACACTTACTGGAGCTGAGATGGAGCTTTTCAATTGTACTGATCTCCTCTATGACAGGTATTATCATTAACATCAGAGAACAAGTTCTCTAGTGCCAAACAGTAACTGAGTAAACTTTGGCCCATCAGCACACACAGAAGGCTGGCAGATACAAGGAGTGGGAATGAAAAGATTATGGGATCATAAACTACTTTTGTGTGGTTTATGTGTCCCCCTGTTTGAATTGAATATGTCATGAAGATTCTCCTAAATTGTTTTGACTGTGAGCGGCATTGTGAAGCCATAACAGAAGCAAGGATCACCCACCAGTAGCAAAATCCACTAATAGCAGCTCCCCACATGGGATTTGGGTAGTGGAGAAACATGCAGGTTGCCAATACAGTAACTCCCACACGGCAGGGTATGGCCCCTCAGGATTACTTTGCCTCAGTTACTCAGGATGGTCCCCAAGTTACACAGGTGGGAACAGTCTGAGCTCACATAAAATAAACTTCTGCCACTTTCATTTTTACCCCAGAGTGCATTTCTATTAGAGGTTGCTGATGTGGCTTGAGGAGGTTTTTCTGGTTTGCCCAGCTGTCATTTAAAACCTCAGAGTAATGGTATTATGTAGATTGAGGGGATGATTTGGAAGTTTCTAGCCTAGTCTCCTGCTCGGAGCAGAAAAGATGAAGAGCAGATTTTTCAGGGTCTTGTCAAATCAGCATCTTAGTATCCCAAAGGACTAATATTTCATAATCTCTATGGAAGCCTCTTCCAGTGTTTGATAATCCTCATGATGATTTTTTTCCCTTAAATGTAATAGAATTTTCATTGTAATACAACTCTTAAAAGTCTCAGCTCATGCAGAGGACTGATGAGTCCTACTCTGTCAAGAAATTTTCTCAGAATGACAGCTAAATTAATGCAGGCTATGTGTGTGGATGTGCTTGTTTAGTGATAGAAAAAATGCTAAATGAAGAGCTGAGCCTGAGCACAGCTAAATGGTGTTGACTAAAATGTTTCCCAATTAACAAAGGGAGATTTGAGGGAATTTTTAAGTCTCTATACATGATTAAAAACAAAGAAACAGCAAAACAAGAAACAAACAAACAAACAAGAACAGAAAAAAAAACCCAAAAATACCCTAGTAAATATGTTACAGAAGCCTGCAAAAAACAAGCAAAAAAGTAATCCAGAGCTGTATGCAAATCACAAAACAACCTGAGAAATAAAGCAAAGCAGAGGTATCCTGAACTCAACTGGAGCTCAAACCAGCCTTGATGAAATCTCCTTACACTAAATTCTAGAAAATAAAATCCCTTAGACACTGTTAAGCAAACATACTACACCAAAAATTGCATCCATTCCCATCCTTAGTCTCTTCTACATGATTATGGTCCCATCTCCTTACACCTCAAAGGGCTGGACTGAATAGCCTTTCTTAAAGACTGTTTGGTTATACTAAAATACTTTCCATGGCTACACTATGCTTGCTTTCTCCATAATTTCAGCTTCTAAAAGCCATATTTTCAGTCCTACAGGCACCTGAGTTGGTTTCTTTAGATTTCTTTTCAAATTATACAGTTGTTTGGACTAATAATATCTGTATATTAGCCAACTGTGCACTACTGAAGACATGCAGGAAAACAGGTGTCTTTTGAAACCCAAAAGATTGAAAGTGAGGAAGTTTCACTTCCTTTCAGCTTAGGTTCTCTACAGATTTATATCAGCAAGGTCCAGCTGCACTGTGTGATAATACAGATCTTGACTCTTTTCACACACGCCATCCCCTTTCTAAACTGCTGGGGATGAGAAGCTGGCACAACTGTAAATTTGTAACCAAGAGATAATAGAACATATTATGAAATTCCCTGGGAACTTTCTTTCTGTAGGATCATCTCACTGTAAACTGAAATAGTATTTTAAGCAACCTACAGAGTTTGTTGCCTAAACCTCAACCTCATCTGCCAATTTTTCAACACTTCTTATATTTATTTGCATACACTGGTTAAATTCAAATTGATTATGACACTCTGAGTTTAATTTTGATTCCAGAAGAACTGAAGCACGTACAGAGTTAACTCATTACCCCTCCCTAGTGTAACAGATATCAGAATCTATGTGTGTTAAAATATATTAACGTTTTCAGTCTATAGAGACAATGCTTCCCTGACTAATACTATTAATAAGAGGAGACAAAACAAATAATAGATGGAATAATCTCACCAAGAGCAAGGAGTGAAAGAAAGCATTTAACAATGTATTTGATGTATGTTTCCTTCAGGTATGTATACATTTCTGTAAATACACCTGTAGATAACTTAAAAAAACAAACAGGTATGTGGATCTACATGGTCTATCTCCCACATCTCTGCAGATCAACAGGAGATCAATTGGCAGAGAGGAAAACATTTTTTTTTCTCAGAGAAAACAGGATAAACTATCTCCATTTATCTCACTTTTTATTTGCAATAAGCAAAGAACATAGACTTAAACACCTGCAGGTCAGATGGATTTTAATTTAGCCTTTGGTAACTTGTTCAAATCTAAGCCAGATTATCTGCAGAAATGCAGATGGATGGACACTCACAGGAAAAGACAGAGGACATTTGGTTTGTGCATTAATGGGCAGAAGAGTTAAATTCCACAAAAATATATTATGTAAAGCATGAAGTGCACTTATGGCTGCCATGCCTTGCCATGCCTTGCCTTTAGATTTACCATCTGTAGATCTTGCATCTTCTCAGACTCAGAAGCAGAAGATAGAATTAGCTAAAAAGCTAGTTTTTAAAGGAATTTAGTGGCTGGTGCTATAGATAACCAATCCTTAGAAAATCCCTCCAAATTGTTCATTATGCCATTGGCAGCTGTGAAAGGAATCCTCCTTAGAAGCATTGAGTATGGCTCCTCTGTCTAGTCTCATTAAGAGCTTAAATATCTTTCTCCCACTTGATTTTACTTTTTTTTTCTCTTTTTATTACCTGAGCTCTGGTACTGTAGGCACCACTCTCCAGATATTTAATCTGTGATAGGAGGGGTAATGCAGATAAAATAAGAATCTAAACACACCTGCAGCTGTTTTTAGAATCCAAAATTTTCCTGCAGAGTCAAACATATCCAAAAAATGTGCTGTAAACATAAACTAAAATTAAAACCAGCCTTTTACAGTGTTTATATCTTCTTTTTTTAATATTTTTTTCCCTTTTTTTTGAGGGGGGGGTGTTGGTTTTGTTTTTTTTGTTTAGAGAGAACAATTTCTCTGGGAAGAACATCTATGAAGAAAATTAATTTTTAACAAATATTAGAGATAATTTCTCTATCTCTATAAAAAAAATAGAGTTTTTCAAAAACTACATCAGATAATGAGCTTAAAAATTCTTAACCATGTTTGAACAAATACTGTGTATTATCAATGGTGGAGAATTACATAGAACCATGCCATTTTTTTAAATACAAAACTTAATGAAATATATACACATTTAATATATTTGCAATTGCTAAAAAATTAGGTAAATAATAAGTAATTTAACATTTCTACACTGTCAATAGTTCTTATAATATAGTTCAACACTAAGTCAATCCAGGGCATGAACTTTCTGTGAGACCAATTCTGCTTCTCCACCAATGAGGCAAAACCAGAAATCTATCCTTCCAATCATCTGCTCTGAAATTCTTTTGGAATTCTCACAGAATAACTCATGATACAGTAGGCATACATTAATAAAACATTATATGTAAAAATGTACTGAAATGAGCACCTTTATCTATAACTCCATCTAGCAGCAGACTATGGATCAAAATTACTTTTGACCAATTATTCCTTATATATCTGACCAAGGCCAACCCACAGCTACCTACAAATATATGTGACTACATAAATACACACATTATGCACAGTACATGGAAATAATGTTGATGTACACAATAATGCATGCATGTCAGTAAGAATCTTTACCCAGAAGGAAGTTCACACACACAGAAAAAGTGCTCCTGTACATTCTGCACCAGCAGATATTTATTAACATTCTCCCCACTTCATATAGTTATTCCATTAAGAAATTACATGGTACAACTACTTAATGCAGGCATATTGTAATAACATCTGAGTGTAAAGTGAGCATAACAACATTCAGTTGCTATGCATGTACTTAGAACAATGCATAAACACTCGAAATACAGCAAGCACCAAAATTTTGGTGATCGCAGGAGTGTGCAATAGAAATGAAGGTCTACATAAGTAAACACAAAAACTGGATTGCACTCACCTGCTAAAGCACTGAGGTCATGGCTCAGGATTGACGTTCCCCAGTTTAGTGTTCCCAGTGAAACACTCCAGACCACTCTTCCATCCCCTCCCCCAGACATGCAGCACACTGGAAAGGAGAATGGGAGGCACAAAAGTTAAAGATCACAAGATAGGAAGAATTTACTGGAAACATTTGATAAGATGACAGCCTGTATCAGCAGCTGTAGTAGTGACAGAAGATACAAGAAGGAGGTGAAGGATCCTCAGGCAGTGGAGGCTGGTATTATGTGAGCTGCTGCTTCTCCAGGCAGTGCAGACACACTGCCCCCCACGCCCAGCATTGATGTGAGCTGCTATAGAACAACCACCCCTCCTGGCCACTGCAAAAATTAGCCCTGTCCTGGCTGGAAACAGGAGAACTCTCTACAGGTAGAAAGCATGGCTCGGAGACAGCAGATTTTGATCAGAGCCTCGTTTAACTGCCCACTATGGCAAAAAATTGGATATTATTGGCTCTAACTACTGAGAGAATGGAGATTCTCTTGATGCTATGAGAGCTAACAAATGGTGTTTAGATATGATTTGTTTATTCCTTTTGTAATGCAAGTAAGCCTGTTGACTTAGATGTGTAAAATGTCTTGGACTGAATTTTTACTAAATTGGACTACGTCCATATAATCTGGGGTTACAGCTGAATTACGTATGCTTGTTTTGATACTTTGAGTTGGTCTAACAGATGATTTAAAATCATATTCTTAGTCAAGACACTAATAAATCTTGAATTAATTATGCGTTGACTGTTTTCCATGTATTT